CCACAGTCCAGACATTCATCCTATCTACCGGACAGTCCAGACACCTTTCCCACTGCCTACAGTCCAGACACACTTCTTCCTGCTACCTACACAGTCCAGACACCTATCCTCTACTGACAGTCCAGACACTCTATCCCTACTGACAGTCCAGACACTCCATCTCTACCGACAGTCCAGACACCCATCCCATCTACCGACATTCCAGACACCCATCCTATCTACTGACAGTCCAGACACTCCATCCCATCTACCGACAGTCCATACACCTATCCCATCTACTGACAGTTCAAACATCCATTCCATCTACTGACACAGTTCAGACACCTCATCCCTCTACCGACACAGCCCAGACGCCTATTCCATCTACTGACAGTCCAGACACCCTTTCCTGCCACCACAGTTCAGACACCCTTCCTGCCACCCACAGTCAAGACACTGATCCCATTCTCCAGACACTCATCCCATCTGACAGTCCAGACACTTTTCCCACCACCCACAGTCCAGACATCCATCCTATCTACCGACTAGTCCAGACACCTCTTCCTGCTACTCATAGTCCAGACACCCTTTCTGCCTACTCCTACAGTCCAGACATCCATCCCATCTACCTGACAGTCCAGACACCTCCTTTCCTGCTCACACCCACAGTCCAGACACCTTTTCCTGCCACCCACAGTCCAGACACTCCATCCTCTAATGACAGTCCAGACACCTATCCCATTCTACTGACAGTCCAGACACCTATCCTGCTCTACCGACAGTCCAGACACCCATCCCATCTACCGACATTCCAGACACCCATCCCATTCTACCGACAGTCCAGACACCCATCCTATCTACCGACAGTCCATACACCTTATCCCATCTACCGACAGTTCAAACATCCATCCCATCTACCGACAGTCCAGACACCTATCCTCTACTGACAGCTTCCAGATGCCCATTCCATCTACTGACAGTCCAGACACACCCTTCCTGCTACCCACAGTCCAGACACCCTTTCCTGCTACCCACAGTCTATACTACACCCATGCCCTTCTCACAGTCCAAACACCCATTTCCTGCCACCCACAGTCCAAACACCTTTCCCACTCACCCACAGTCCATACACCCATACTGCCTATCTACACAGTCCAGACACCCTTCCTAAGCCACCCACAGTCCAAACACCCTTTTCCTGCCACCCACAGTCTAGACACCATATCCCATCAACTGACAGTCTAGACACTCTATCCTATCTACTGATAGTCCAGACACCTTTTCCTCACCACCCACAGTCCAGACACTCCATCCCACTCACCTACAGTCCAGATACACTTTCCTACTACCCACAGTCTCAGACACTTTTCCTGCTACCCACAGTCCAGACACTCCCTTCCTACATACCCACATTCTAAAACACCTTTCCCATTCCACCCACAGTCCATTTCACCCATGCTGCTTCCCACAGTCCAACACACCTTTCCTGTATTTCCTACCCACAGTCCAGACATCCATCCCATCTACTGACAGTTCAGACACCTTCCTGCTACCCACAGTCCTCCAGACATCCATCCCATCTACTGGGACAGTCCAGACACCCTTCCTTCCACCCACAGTCCAAACACCCTTCCTGCCACCCACAGTCCAGACACTGATCCTATCAACTGACAGTCCAGACACCTCCATCCCATCTACCGACAGTCCAGACACCTTCCCACCACCATACAGTCCAGACACCTATCTCCCACCACCCACAGTCCAGACACCTTCCCACCACCCACAGTCCAGACATCCTTCCTGCCACTGACAGTCCAGACACCTTTCCTGCCACCCACATTATCTAAACACCTTTTCCCACCACACACAGTCCATTCACCCATAAGCTTCCTACTGGACAGTCCAAACACCCTTCCTGCCACCCACAGTCCAGACACCTATCCCATCTACCGACAGTCCAGACACCCTTCCTACCACCCACAGTCCAGACATCCATCCCATCTACCGACAGTCCAGACACCCTTCCTGCCACCCACAGTCCAGACACCCTTCCTGCCACCCACATTCTAAACACCCTTCCCACCTACCTGACAGTCCATTCACCCATCCTTTCTCCTCCACAGTCCAAACACTCCATTCCCACCTACCACAGTCCAAACACCCTTTCCTGCCTCCCCACAGTCCAAACACCCTCCCTGCCACCCACAGTCCAGACATCCATCCCATCTACCGACAGTCCAGACACCCTTCCTGCCACCCACAGTCCAGACACCCTTCCTGCCACCCACATTCTAAACACCCTTCCCACCACCCACAGTCCATTCACCCATGCTGCCTCCCACAGTCCAAACACCCTTCCTGCCACCCACAGTCCAGACACCCATCCCATCTACCGACAGTCCAGACACCCTTCCTGCCACCCACAGTCCAGACATCCATCCCATCTACCGACAGTCCAGACACCCTTCCTTCCACCCACAGTCCAGACACCCTTCCTGCCACCCACATTCTAAACACCCTTCCCACCACCCACAGTCCATTCACCCATGCTGCCTCCCACAGTCCAAACACCCTTCCCACCACCCACAGTCCAAACACCCTTCCATCTACTGACAGTCCAAACACCCTTTCCTGCCACCCACAGTCCAGACACCCATCCCATCTACCGACAGTTCAGACACACCCCTTCCTGCCACCCACAGTTCCTTCCTGGCCACCCCATTCTAAACACCCTTCCCACCACTCACAGTCCATTCACCCATGCTGCCTCCCACAGTCCAAACACCCTTCCTGCCACCCACAGTCCAGACACCCATCCCATCTACCGACAGTCCAGACACCCTTCCTGCCACCCACAGTCCAGACATCCATCCCATCTACCGACAGTCCAGACACCCTTCCTGCCACCCACAGTCCAAACACCCTTCCTGCCACCCACAGTCCAGACACCGATCCCATCAACCGGCAGTCCAGACACCCATCCCATCTACCGACAGTCCAGACACCCTTCCCACCACCCACAGTCCAGACATCCATCCCATCTACCGACAGTCCAGACACCCTTCCTGCCACCCACAGTCCAGACACCCTTCCTGCCACCCACATTCTAAACACCCTTCCCACCACCCACAGTCCAGACACCCATCCCACCACCCACAGTCCAGACACCCTTCCCACCACCCACAGTCCAGACACCCATCCCATCTACCGACAGTCCAGACACCCATCCCATCTACCCACAGTCCAGACACCCATCCCACCACCCACAGTCCAGACACCCATCCCATCTACCAACAGTCCAGACACCCATCCCATCTACCGACAGTCCAGACACCCATCCCATCTACCAACAGTCCAGACACCCATCCCATCTACCGACAGTCCAGACACCCATCCCATCTACCAACAGTCCAGACACCCATCCCACCACCCCCAGTCCAGACACCCTTCCTGCCTCCCACAGTCCAGACAGCCATAGCCTAGACACCCACACCAATGCAGACACCATGTGCCCCGAGCCCACGTGTCCCGACATCCTTGTACACAAACACCCAGGTACCCTGACACCACTAAGTAAATCCTCAGGTAACTAATTTATTCTGACCATACATACAACTAAAGTCGATTAGACATAAATTGCCAAAGGAGTCCCGCTAAAGTCTAGAAGATTGACAAGTCTTGATTGCTTCAGCTCAAGTCTGAAATTCTGAGCTCTATCTATTTATGTTTATTAATTAGTATACATATACTTTCAAATACGATACTTATACTTCGAGACTAAATGTTAGTCGAATAAAGCTGCACACCCAAAATGGAACTGTTGCATCCATCGTCAAAAAAACATAGCAAAATACCACCAAGCATTCTTCGAAGATTTTTGTAAACATAATCACCGAACAAACAAGCAAGCAATTAATTAATGGAATTCTTCCATGATATTTGCCTATTTACAAATATATTATTTGCCTATTTACAAATATGTTATTTGCCTATTTACAAATATGTTATTTGCCTATTTAAAAATAAATTATTTGCTATTTACAAATATATTATTTGCCTATTTACAAATATATTCCAAACCTCAAAACCTGACGAATGTGTTATTCACGGAGTATACACAGTTACACATCATGCAGGAACACGTGTACTGCAACCAGGTGGTATGTGACAGCATCCTTCCTACAGTGCCCATACATCCTAGTGCATTAGCCTCCCTCCAGGCATCACCAGGGAGCAGTCTGTGTACTCAGTGTGTTCAATACATCAAATATGAACATGTGTGTGAACAGATTCCTCGTTATAAAGCGGAACATGTCCAAGTCATGGACATTTCATTAATATATTCGAGGGTGGGGCGACCGTTTACATTAACCCGGAAGCGCCCTTGTATAAGAACAAAACTACGTTGCTATAGTAACATTTTTAGTCCGGTCTCAACAAGTCGACTCTCTCTTGTATTCGGTGATAACACTTTCGACACATTACCTCACAAATGAGGTTTTATTCCGTCGGGCGCTGTTTCACTGTGACAGTGTGAAGTGAGCATCTAATGTTGAATTTGTATGAAATGGATTACATTGACGTAGAGGGAAATGTTTGAATTATTTCCATGAGAATTCAACATGTAAAAGTGTATATACCCTACTTATTGTTCTTTTACGGTTAACGCATGCATCCTGATCACTCTAAGGACACACACACGCACACGCACAGACACACACACACACATTCACATATACACACAGACAACTGTTGCACAACAGTTGTGCAGTTACTTTTTTGAGAAAGAAGAAGAAGAGGGAAGAAGAAAGAAGAATGAGGAGGACAAGGCAGAAGAGGGAAGAAAACAAGAAGAACAGGGAGAGGAAGAAGAATGAGGAGGGGAGAAGAAGAATGAGGAGGGCTTGGAAGATGAAGGAGGAGGGAGAACGAAAAAGGAAGAAGGGGAGGAGGGAGAAAGAAGAAGGAAAGAGGAAGGAAGAAGAAGGAAGAAGGGGAGGAGACAGAAGAAGGAAGAAGGAATGAGAAAGAAGAAGGGAGGAGGAAGGAAGAAGAAGGAAGAAGGGGAGGAGACAGAAGAAGGAAGAAGGAGTGAGAAAGAAGAAGGGAGGAGGGAGAAAGACGAAGAAGGAGGTGGGAGAGAAAGAAGAAGGAAGAAGAAGGAAGAGAAGGAGAAAAGAAGAAGGAGGAAGAAGGAAGGAAGAAAAGAAGGGGAGAAGGAAAGAAGAAGAAAGAAGGAAATAGTAAAAGAAGAAGAGAAGGAAGAAGAAGAATGGAGGACGAAGAAGAAAAAGAAAGAAGGAGGAGAAGGAAGAAGAAGGAGGAGAAAGAAGATGGAAGAAGGAAGAAGGAGAAAAGAAGAAGAAGGAGAAGAAAGAAGGAGGAAGAAAAGAAGGAGAAAGAAGAAGGAAGAAGGAAGAAAGAAGAAGAAGGAGAAGAGGAGAAAGAAGAAGAGGAGGTGGAGAAAGAAGAAGGAAGAAGAAGGAAGAAGGAAGAAGGAAGAAGAAGGAAGAAAGAAGAAGAAAGAAGAGAAAGAAGAAAGAAGGAAGAAGAAAGAAGAAGGAAGAAAGAAGAAGAAGGAAGAAGAAGAAGAAGAAGAAGAAAGGGAGAAGAAAGAAGAAGGAAGAAGAGAAGAAAGAAGAAGAAGAAAGAAGGAGGAAGAAGAAGAAAGAAGAAGGAAGAAGAAGGAAGAAGGAGGAAGAAAGAAAGAAGGAAGAAGAAGGAAGGAAGAAAGAAGAAGAAGAAGAAGAAGAAGAAAAGAAGAAGGAAGAAGGAGGAGAAAGAAGAAGGAAGAAGGAGGAAGAAGAAAAAGAAGAAGGAGGAGGAGGAGAAAGAAGAAGGAAGAAGAAGAGAGAGAAAGAAGAAAGAAGAAGGAAGAAGAAGAAGGAAAGAAGAAGGAAGAAGAAAGAAGAAGGAAGGAAGGAGGAGGAGGAAGAAGAAGGAAGAAGGAGGAAGAAAGAAGAAGGAAGAAGGAGGAGAAAGAAGAAGAAGGAAGGAAGGAAGGAGAAAGAAGAAGGAAGAAGAAAGGAGGGAGAGGAAGAAGAAGGAAGAAGGAAGGAGGAGAAAGAAGAAGAAGGAGAGAGAAAGAAGATGGAAGAAGGAGAAAGAAGAAGGAAGAAGAAGAAGGAAGAAGAAGAAGGAAGGAGGAAGAAAAGAAGAAGGAGGAAGAAGGAGAAAGAAGAAGGAAGGAGGAGAAAAGAAGAAGAAGGAGGAAAGAAGAAGAAGGAGGAGAAGGAAGGAGAAAGAAGAAGGAAGAAGAAGAGGAGGAAGAAAGAAGAAGGAGGAAGGAG